CGAAATGAGATCCGTAAAGCCGAGGAACAATAGCTACAAGAAAGGTGCACAGAACTAGAAGAATTGGAGGGGAAGCAAGGGGCATGACCACTTTAGCACACATAAATTAGTGAAAGAAGTTACAGGCCGAATAAAGCCTTGCAATTTGAGTAACATAGTGAAGGACAATAGTTTCATCTCTCATCCCAAGGGATTCCTTGCAAAAAGAAAAACTTAATGCGGAGAATACCAAAATAGATTTCAATGTAGAATATTCTCCAAAAATAGGTACTGAAATCAGAAGTCCTCAAGGCAATTAAACAAAGCAAACAAGGAAAAGCAGCAGGGCATGAGTCGATAGCAGTGTGATTTCTCTTGCACTTTTCGCATTTTCGTTTGGATTTGCTAGTATTTTCTTCACGAAAAATTGTGAAAAGTGTACACATTAAGTATTAGTGAATTTCCTTTAGAGTGTCATCGTGTTTTTTCTGTTTAGGCATTTCTGTATTATAACTGAAAAATTGCATTGAACAGATCTTCACTCATTCGGTGGTTATAGTCGTACCTCTGCAATAAGTCGCTGTCATTGGCTTGGTTACTGAGATGGCGACATGCTTCTAACTCCAGCGATGTGCGACCTTTGTCAGCCAACTCAAGGGGAAATTTGATGCTCGATTTAATCAGCTTGAAGAAAAACCTAATGAAGTATAGAAATCATTATCAACTCTAAATATCGATATTAATAAAAATAATTCTCGGGTAGTGTTCTTTGAGCAGAAGGCGGTTACCTTAGATCACCTTCATAGAAGAAACTCTCTGCGCTCTATTGGCCTCCCTGGGGATGGGGATTATTTTGTGCAAGTTTATTCTAGCTTCACTTAATGTGAGGTGTTCCAAGCAGGATATTGACAGTGCCTTTCGCATTGGACCGCATCTAAACGGGGAGTTCTGGTAACATTTGTTAACAACTGGGAACGTAGTGAGGTATATGGTGCCAAGACAAGGTTGAGAAGTTCTGGTTTTTCTATATTTGAAGACTTGTTGGAGGCTAAGAAGAAATATGGCAAAAACAAGGTTTGGTCATTGGGTGGTAGCGTCTTTATTTGGAGTGAAGATGAAAAAAAGAAAATTATACCAAACTAATAAACTAATCCATTTTTACTATACTCTATTATATGTTTACAAAATCAATAATCTATGCGGCTTCATCGATGGTGTAGGACTATAGGGATAAAACAGTGTGTCATTGACGCAACTCGCGATTTGCTGGTCTGTAGTGATTCGTCGTTAGTTGAGAATAGTGCAACGTATGAGTTTACTGACATTTCTGATCATGAATTAGTTACTTCCAAAATTAAGTATGTAAAAGGCGAACCTCCTCCCTCATTTAAAAGTTATCGTGACTTTAGAAACTTTGATTACAATAAATTCTTACCTGACTTAGGTACATGCTGTGAACTGGGAGTATATGTTTTTTTTTGCCAATGATGTCGACAGAATAGTTCAGTTTTTCAATTATCAACTCACTAACTTTCTCGACGGACATTCTCCGTATAGATCCGCCAGAAAAACTAAACGTCCTGCTCCGTGGTTGATGGATAATTTGAAATTCATGATGAGACTTGTACTGACAAAGCTTTTTCGTAGTATAAGAAACGTAAAACTAAAAAAAAAAAAACTGGAATGAGTATAATTCATTACGTAATCGGGTTAACATTACTGTTAGGGTAGAGAAGAAAGCATATTTCAAACGCGATCCTAAAGTCATTCTGGCGTACAATAAAAAATCCTAATATCTCATCTCATTCAGATCAGATTGAAAATGTGGATGCTTCTGCTGATGACTTCAATAACTACTTTTTAGATTCTCTTTCCCAACCCGCAGCCAATAACCCAGACCTTATTTTCCAAAATTATTATGAAAAAAAAATTGGGAATTTTGAAGATTTCATCTTTGTTCAAATAAGCTCTGGTTCAGTCGAGAAAATAATACATAAACTCACCTCAAACAGCGCGAGATGTGATGGGCTAGCCTCATAAGGCTAAATTGTCACTCCTCACCTCATTAAAAACGTTACTACATAGTAGTAAATGTGTGTCTTGGAAATAGTAGATTTCCTGATGAATCGAAACTGACTCATGTTATTCCAGTTCCCAAAGTTTTGAACTGTTTTGAGACTTTCGACCCATCAGCATTTTGCCTTTGCTAGATTCTTGAAAAATTTGTGGCTGATCAGTTAACTCCTTAATATATTAATTTGCATGGCTTACTTCCTTCTACCCAATCTGGATTTCGTGCCTGTCATAGCATTACAACTGCACTGTTAGAATTCGCTGATGACATATTTAGATTTAGGGGATTGGATAATAACACGTGCAGTTGTTTGTTGCTGTTGGACTATAATAAGGCATTTAATACTATCGATCACTCGGCCCTTTTAAACAAATTAAAGTACTTCAGTTCAGCAGGGCATTGCGCATTAAATTTTTTTCGTGACTATATTTGTTCGATAGGCAGCTTGTTTGTTCTGGTTCTGATATATGTCGGCATGTAGGAGTTTACCAAATGGTGTGCCTCAATGGTAGTGTTTTGGGGCCTTTATTGTTTTCGCTGTACTCTGACTTTTCAAAATATTTAAAAACGCTAAAGTGTCAGCAATTTGCTGACGACATTCAGGTTTACCGCTCCTTTTATCCTAAATTCATGATGCGGTACAGGCCATTGATACTGAACTTGAGGCAGTGGCGAGAGTCTCCAATGAGCACAAACTTGTTCTCAATGCGAATAAAACGTGCTAATTTAATTTTGTTTGGCTAATCTAGAGATATTGTATCGGCAAATCCTAATTTGCAAATTATCCTCAACAATACTTTACTCACATCAGTAGCTTCATGCAGAAACCTTGATATCAATATTGACGTTGATCTAAGATTTTCCACCCATGTATCTTCTTTGATTTCCAAGACTTATGGTATTTTGCGGCGTCTGTAGATGCACAAAGATATTCTTGGCACCAAGATGAAGCTAAGGCTGTCAGACTCACTCATTCTCTCACACATAAGTCACATAAATCACATTTTACAAAAGTTGCAAAATTCCTGTTTGAGGTTTGCTTTCAATGTACGGAAATACGATCATAATATTACGCCTGCCCTACAAGAGTCGGGTTGGATAACAATGAATGGGCACTACTCCATATGATATGTCTTGTTTATGAAATTGATATTAGTATGATTCCGAAATATTTAAACAATAAACTAATAAAAATATCTGATTTTCATATTCATAGTACTCGTCATGGAGGACGTATCAGACGCAAACTACTGTGATCAGTTGCGAATGATCAGCTTTATGAGTCAAGTCTGGAAAATTATCCTAAAGATAATCCATATGAGAATTCACAATAGATACGAAAGAATCCTTGCTCCTACTCAGTTTGGGTTTAGACAAGGCTTTGGCACACATGAAGCACTTTTCAGTCTAACCATATTACTTCAGAAATGCAGAGACTAGCGTAAGGACATTTTCATGTGTTTCATGGATTATCGACTGTACGTCTCAAACACGCACTGAGCTAGTAAAGATGCTTCAAGATAGGATGATAGATGAGAACGATCCACGATTTATAAAAAACCTATATTAAATCAAACAGCATCGGTGAAAGTGGGAAATGACACTACACAGAAATTCCCGTTAGAAAGAGGAGTAAGACAGAGTTGCGTTCTTCTCTGTACTCTTCAATCTATACTCTCAAACGATTTTTGAATGTGGGTTGAAGGATGCAGAGGATGGCATCAAGAATAATGGACAGGCTAGGGTTTCAACTAAATCTATGCCTTCAACAATATAGGTACGCTCATGACAAGTCATGATAGCAGACGGATAGCGGACAGGAATCATTAAAATGCCTTGTTGATAGAATAGCTATCAAAGGCGAACGACTCGGCCTAAAGATTAACATAAACAGAACGAGAGCAATGATGATTAGCAGAACACCAAATGTGCACTTGAATATAACAATGAATAACGGGCACATTTTCAGAAATACCTGGGAAGCTGATGGTCCAGATGTAGAAAAACCATGCAGAATTGAGCAAGCCAGGGCAACATTTATGAATATGAGAGCTTTTCTCAGCTCAGCAGACTTAAACCGATAATAAGCTCCGTTTTGTAATATGCTACATTTATTCCGTGCCACTGTATGGATTCGAGCTATGGACAATAAAGGCCAGTATTATGAACCAACTAGAATCCTTTGAAACTTGGGTATGCAAAAGAATGCTAAATATTCCGTGTCTAGCGAAGTTCGGAATAGAATGGGAAGAGAAAGAGTTGTTACAGATAGTGAAAAAAAGGAAACCTGCATACCTAACTGGGTCATATCTTCAGATATTTCAATTATCAATTTCTAAAGCTGATGATGGAAGGAAAGATCGCGGGAAAGAGATGCATCGGGAGGAAGAAATATTCGTGGCTAAAGAACATAAGAGACATGCATTTTTCAGAGCCGCTCAAGATAGAAACGAATATGCCAGAATTGTCGCCAACATTCATTAATGGGCACCTTGAGAAGAGAATGTCTTAAAGATTGCCGATGAGGAAGGCGTGGAACTGGGGATTCGGTGTTTTGATCTTCAGGCTGGCAGTTATTTAGAAGAACATCATCATAAAAATACTCATGTAACCTACTTTTCTCATTCTCCTTAATTCTGTTTTGGATGCTTATAGCTTTAAAATCATTTTCTGAATAGATTTATGTTGATTGAAAAAAATTGTATATAGGGATGACATTTGAGCCAAGTTCAAAATATCAGTTGAACAGCTGAGTACCTACTGAATTTTAAAGATATAACTAAATCTTCAAGACTAATTTGAGAAGCGTGGAAAAGATTGGCACGTAATACCACTATCTTATTTGTTATCGCAGAGCAGAATGTTATTGGCTTTGATTCATCTTTTTTGAAAAGTTCTTAAGAAATTTTATCACACTTATAATACTATAATACTCTGTTCCTTCCAGAACATGACAACTTTTGCAAAACTAACCCAAGAAATTCCACAAAACTACAAAGGAATTCTGTTCAACGCGGCGCTAATTTTGGTATCTAGCTTGGAATGCATAACTGCAGCTGTAGCGGCCTACAGGAGCTCTAGGGAGCTGTGTCCATGTTTCAAAAGAAGCGAGGATTATTATCAGGTAAACAATTTCCACAATATGTAACAATAAATCAGCATTCAGTTCTTTTATATAGGATAATCTTAATATGAACAGAAGCCACGCGCTGGTCAGTTCATGGTTGATGGAAAAACATGGATCTGCTACAAGTGCTCCACAAATCTACGTTGTTACTGGACCTACGTCTACTTTGGGTAGAGGAAGCAAAGTAAGTTTTCATTGTTTAATTATCACATGTATATATTACAAAATTTCACCATTATCGAGTAGTGGAAATGCATATTGAAGTATGATGAAATATATACATTTTTCAAGCGTTTCAATAATACATACATTGGAAAGTTTTTAAAGGACCACATTTTAATTTATTCTAAATCTCAAGATTACAACATACCGATTAATAGATCAAAATTGGATAAGTCAAAAACAAACGAAAAAAAAAACTAATTTCCGAAAGCCTCATATACTTACACACGCTATATTTATCATAATATAGGCTATAATTATTATTTAATGCGTAGAGTGAAACTAAATTAACTTATAGTAATTGAGAGCAAAAAGTATCTAACCCAGACTGATATATTTATTGGTCACGCATTTTAAGTTGCACTTGATTTTGCTATGATTGATAGCATTCCTCCGAGAGTGGAGAGAATTAATGGAGTAATTAACACAATTAGTCGAAGAACTTAATTATAATTAATATACTTGAAATGAAATTTGTTTCCATCTTTATTTCAATCTGCAAAATCAAATTATTATTGCGTCTCTCTATAAGAAATCTATAAAGGAAATCGAGTGTTTTATACTGATTGTTAATTATTGCAAAAATCTTCCTATATTAGGTTCGCGCATGGTTTCACCGTTCAGCCATAAGGAAAAACATTCCTAAAAGAAAATAAATAATATAAATGGCCGGTTGACTTTCTCTATGTATGTTTTCTTACTAAAAAGGAATGATCGTCTTGTTTATTTGTATCTACGACGTCCTTGGCAGATGTCCGATTGGCGCATCTGCAAAATGATAAATTTCTTCCTGGAACTTGGAATTAAAAATATCGATGGTTTTTATTGATTGAATCAAATTAGAGCGGATGGGATAGTACTCTTAATAGATGTAAATATATTATTCAATAGTTTAAGAAAGTAGCTCCATAAAAATTGTTTAAGGTTTTCCATCGATGGTCCATTACTTAACACAGGTGGTTTCACATCATCAGCATCATCATTCGATTATCCGCGTTTGGTTGTCTTTCTAGAACTATCCTAGTTCACCTACCATCATTTGCCCTTGGATATTCGTTCCAGAACATCATGTTATTAGAACTGTTCGACAACGAATGTCTTTATTTCGTACTCCATCTTCTTCCAGGCTTCGAGCGTTCCATTCCACTTATTTTACATGGTGATTGTCAAGATGAGTAAAAAATTTAGTGTCAGGGCCGTGGATGTCTTGAACCGATCTAGTAGAAATAAACACAACATTTTGGGAAGAACTTATAAGATATGGAATTTATCAGAACAAAAATATGAGAAACAAATAACAGACTTCTTAATGTGCAACGTGCAACGACGACATGACAATTAACGCCTCTTGAGAGAACGTGAATATCAATAAAGAAACCTCCCAAGAAATGGAAAGCAATAAGGGAAATGATATTACAGAAAATGACAAGAAAGTCAAAAACATAACAAGAGTATGAAGATCTCAGACAAGAAAATAAACATCACTACATGAATAAATAAAATCGTGAGTTTATAAATGTAGGTTAGAGGAAGAAGATGGTAGGTACCTACTTATTGGATCCCCAAAGATAGAGAAAAATGAATAATAAACGAGGAGAGACGTTTATCCCAAAATTCAGCTATACAGGGCAAAAAAAAAGGAAGATTCAAAAATGATTAATAATTCTACAAGAACTGCCTTGTTTTACAAGATACAAATTTTGATTCTTTTTTCCAAATTTTAAGCGAAATAGTTAAAACAAAAACACAAATTCCATTCACGCTTCGGAAGCAAACCATACACTGTAACTACAATTTCTAAGTTTTTAAACATACCTATACCAAACAACTAATAAAAAGAGCCATTTAAACCAATTAAAGATTCAAGTTATAGCGTTGAAGGCATGTTCTTAGAACCGAAAAGTAAGCGTATTAAATGTGTGCCGTTTTTCGACTGGCCGGTCTTTGACTTTTAAATATTTATTAACTTTTACTTATGCCTCGAGCATTTTTATGAGTAAAGAGAAACTATACTGTATATACATATACACATATGAGTATGCAAGGGCCTGGCCAATCGGATTTTTGTGTCCGATATGATGAGAATCGATTATGAATGGGTTTCGGACGTCTTAAAAAGTAAAAGTTGTCTGAGATTTTGTCTTGCAACAGATTAGTACCGTTTTTAAGTTCAAGTTGGATAGCTGATTTATGGGACACATTTTTTACAAGTAACTGCTATAGCTATGCTATTTCACTTTGAATGCAACCCAATTGATTATGTAGTCCAGTAGCTAATTTTCTTTTATGGGACACAAAAATCACAATAAATAACACCTTATAAGTATAAAAATATCTAAATATTTATGTAAATCTAAAAAATTTCATTCACTCCTCATTGGGTTATAAATAATTCAATAAGCCATTATTGTTGGCCAAGCCTTCAAAAATAATACCATCATGACTCATTACATACATTCCACTTATATCAATAAAATAAAGAAGGAATGCAACTAATCCGAAGAACAATATTTTTAAAAACGGTGAAAGTAAAATAAAATACGTGCCGATACATGTTTCTTTCAACGTGACAAAGTACTACCGTGTCGCAGTACCTTGTTTTTATTGCTACACCTGTAATCTTTCACTTACTTCGAGAATCTCACGGCACTGACACACTGGTTTTATGGGTACTTTGCCCTAAAATGACTACAAACTACAGAAGAATTTTGAAAATTCAGATCAGATTCAGAGACAGGAATTTGATGTTTTGTGTTGACATCTGGAAACGGTAAAAAAAGATGATTGCCACCTGATTATAATGAACTAAAAGCACTCCTAAAGATTCTTCATCGATGATTTTTATCTCCTTTCCATGGTATGGAGCTTCCGCTTCATAATGACCGGAAGCAACTTTTTTTTCTTATAATGTGTCCCATTCAACACTTAATTTTAATTATAAATAGGAATTGGTTGGTTGGTTTAGGGCGGGTTCAGGTATGCACGCACAATATGTTAGTCTCCAAATAAATAGGGTCTTCTGCCTCTGCGGGCCAGTGCTTCACAATCGTATATTATGTGCAAGGCGGTTTCCTCCTCTTCACCACACAGTCTACATATCGTTGGGCCATTGTAGACTCCCATTTTCTGCACACACACTGTCCTGTTACTAGTCCTACCATCCGTCTTATCTGAGTACGCGTCAGTGACAGCAAGACAGTACCTCAGCTATTAGCATCTTTGAGCCATTCTCCTTGGAGTATCTTGCTTCAGGTGTGGACAGCCGAGGTGTTGATAGGTCCACCACCTTTCAAACTGCAATATTTATAGCCTGTTTCGATATCCCAAATGCGGGTTCTTGTATAGGTTGCAGCTGCGCTCGCTCTTGCCAGTTCGTCACGTCGAAAAATGCACCTGGAACTTTTCAGCGCTTGATCAATCAGTTTCGACATGGACTTAGTAACGTATTAGTGCTAACGTCCCTAGACAATATCTGTGTGCTCTACAAAGATCGTATTTTCGAATATTCTCGCATACAAAATTTGATATGATTTCGAATGCTCCCCAATTAATTTACATTGCTGTGAATCAAATTTCGTGTACGAAATGTACTCTAATGGTTTCGAGACTTTTGAGGAACATGTCGAGGACTTAAAACTTGTGTTTTCACGTCTCCGCCAATTCAATTTACGAGCCAAACCTGAAAAGTGCAACTTTGCGCGTAAGATTGTTAAATACCTTGGTCATTTGATCACTCCTGAGGAAATGGCCGTGAATCCGAAAAAAAGTGGTAGCAATTGCGAATAGACCTACGTCCCGTGACTTAAAGCAGTGCTCTCGTTCTTGCAGTCGTGTAGCTGGTATCGTCGCTTTGTGAAGAACTTTGTCGCCATTTCACGTCCATTGAGTGACCTAACTAAGAAAAAAGCACTATGGCAATGGACTGAACATTATCAGAACTCGTTCGATACTTTGAGAGATGCACTTATCACAGTCCCAATTTTGCAACAAAATGACGAAACAAAACCATACCTACCTATTGAGGACAAATGCCATTGGATATGCATTAGGAGCTGCACTTTAACAAGGCATGGATGAACATCCCATTGAGTATGCCAGTAGAATACTCATTGCATGCATGAAAAACTACTCGACGTCCGAGCGCGAAGCACTTGCTGTTGTGTGGGCGCTTGACAATTTCAGAGGATACATCCAAGGAATGCCCATAACTGTGCAAACCGACCATCAGCCGTTGAGATGGTTGCTCAATCTTGAATCATCAACTGGTAGATTAGTCAGGTGGGCTTCACAAGTTCAAAATTACGACTTGAGGATAGAATATCTACCTAGTAAAAAGAATGTAGTAGCGGATATGTTATCCAGGCCTTCATGTAATCACAAGATCAAGGAGTTTTGTGACATTTTCTCCTGAGAATTGTCTTTATTATTGGTTGTGCTACTGGTTAGTTATCTTGCTCTTCCAATGAGTGTATTCTTTACAGACACATTCTTTAGTCATTGTGAATTCCTATTGTATTACCGCTTTTGGGCTTCTGATAGTTTCTACTAAAAGAACAAAGAACCCTATCGTCGGAAAATCTCAGTTTAAATATTGTTGGTCTGGTCATCATCAAGAGCTGTATTTATTACGTATAGATTGAAGATGTTCCATGAAAGTTTGAGGTATATTCCACATCTCCATTATCTTCGGATGTTCTGTCATCTAAAAGTATTCTTCTGCTCTCTGATCGTAATTGAGATTTGATATTATTCTTATGTCTTGGGACGAGACTTTTGGAGTCACAATTATTGTAAGTCAATGATGTTTTCTTCTTCTGTCTTGTCCATGCATGGCTAATAATAATTTTTGGAAATGCTTCATTATTATACCTTTTGTGCGGTAGTTAAATCCTGTTCACAATCCGATGTCCACAGGTGCAGGTAAATTTATCACCTTTCTCTATCAAATAGCATTGAAAGGTG